GCCCTGGAGCAGGAGCTGCTCCATCAGACACAACCCAAGGATTTCCAGCAGGGAATCCAACCCAAATTATCCCAGGATGCAAAAAAGGAAAAGCCCCAAACAGCCCCAAGCAAAGAGGAGCTGGAAGGAACCAGGGAAAAATCAATTTCTGAGTAAAACACAAAAACCTCCCAGCACCTGAAATAAACCCAGGAGTTCAAAGCAGGGCTGGGAAATGATTCTCCCCCCACAGACCCAAATATTTGGATAATGTTTGGGCTGTTTGAGCTCAAGGGAAATGAGCTTTCCCTCTCTGCAAACATCCAAACAAAAACTGGGACAAACACAAGGTTTTGTCAGCCTCCTGCTCCTCCTGGAGGGATCCTTCAATCCCAGGGGAGATTTTTTGGGAATGTTCCATTTGTCACACATGGAAATCCTGGGGAAAAACAACAACTCTGCAGCAGAGGCCAAAAAAAAAAAAAATGCACAAACAAACACTAAAAATTCAGGTTTATTCCACAAGGAGCCCCCTGATTCCAGCATTCCTGCAAGGAGCATCGTGTGGTGATGGCAAAGAAAATGAGGGGTAAAAATTAAAAGTAACATTAAAAAAACCCTGAAAATGGGGACTGATTCCAAATTTTTTTTTCCTGTGTGTTTACAAAGCCTTCAGTCCTTTTCTAGCTAAACAATCCCCTTTTATCCACTCCAGCTGCAGCATCAGCTGGAAGGAGCTGAAATCCCCACTCCAACAGGGGCTGGGGCTTTGCCAAGTGAAATTTTGCCATTTCCACGTTTGCCAAACTTTGCCTCTCCTGGGGGAACCCGAGAGCCTCAGCTGGGTTTGGAGCAGGTCAGAAATGGGGGGATTTTCCTGCCAAAACTGCTGGAGCTCCACACTGAGATATTTTAGGAAAATAGTTCTGGAAAAAGAGGAACCTTTGGAATATTCTGGTGTTGTACCCGATCCCATATTCAGCTCCCATTCCTTCCATTCCAGGTGTTTTTAAAATTCTCCCAAGCCCCTGAGACTGGGTGGAAATGGAATTAAACCCCTGGGATATATAAGGGGTTTAATTTCATTAATTGCAGCCCCAGCATCGTTTTCCCTCCACGGCACTTCAGACTTGGATCAAGTTTTGACTGTAAATAACAGGGAATTAGTGAAATTTAGGGCTAATTCCCAAGCAGGAAAGGTTCTCTGCGAGATAAGGGAAATATCAACAAACTGATTGCAGAGACAAAGCTGGAGACCCCTCAGAACCAGGAGGAATTCTCCCAGCCAGGAAGCCTGTGGATAAACATCCTCAAACACAGCTCCAAAGGCACAGCAGAGGCATTAAAAACGAGATAAACACGGACCAGCAGGCAGAGCTTGGCTTAACCAGGGCACTTTGAGGAGGACCTGCAAATTCCGCTGTCAAAATTCCTCTGTCAAAATTCCTCCCTGAGCAGAAACACAGCAGAAAATACCTTCATTTGCTCTTTCTCCTGCATTTCTGGTTCAAGATCCCCCCCAGTTTTNCCCAGCCCTCCCCAGTGTTCCCAGTGCCTCCCAGTACTCACACTGGTGCTGGGTGATGGCCAGGGCCAGGAAGGCGCAGAAGCCCAGCCCGGAGAGGGCAGAGAAGAGGATCCCGACGGAGAGGAAGAACCTCAGCCCTTTTAACCAGGTCCTCCAGTAATCCTGCAGGTACATCACATGCGTGATTAGGGCCCAGAGCGCCAGCACACCTGTCCAGGTGACAGCAGGGACATCAGAATGGTGCCTATGGACAGGTCAAACACAGCCCAACCCCCCCAGAACAGCTGGGAACAGCTGGGAACAGCTGGGAACAGAAACACACCTGTCCAGGTGACAGCAGGGACATCAGAATGGTACCCATGGACAGGTAAAACACAGCCCAACCCCCCCAGAACAGCTGGAAACAGCTGGGAACAGCTGGGAACAGCAGCACACCTGGCCAGGTGACAGCAGGGACATCAGAATGGTACCCATGGACAGGTCAAACACAGCCCAACCCCCCAGAACAGCTGGGAACAGCAGCACACCTGCCCAGGTGACAGCAGGGACATCACAACAGCCCCTCCTGGCCAAGCCCTCCCTGCAGCTGCCAGGACCTGCTGCCCCCCTGCCCACATTCCCTGGGTTCCCACCCCAGACCCCCATGGGACCCCCCATGACCAATCCCCCCGTGCTGGGGGTGCCCAGGCTGGCAGGAGGGATGTGGGAGCAGGCAGATCCCGTGGGCAGAACTGCAGAGTCATGGCACCCCAAACTGTGCCAGGGTCTGGTGACAGAGCTGAGTTCCCCAAAATCACCTCCCCCACTTCCTGCTGCCCCGGGTTCCAGAGTTTTTGAGGCACATTTTGGACAGAAATGGGGAACTTGAGGTTTGCAGTCAGCAAAAAGCTGCTCCCTGCTGAGCCTGCCAGCATGACTCAGCAGAACTGCCCTGAATGCTGAGTCAAGGTTTGCTGTTCCCACCCGGCATCGACATCGCTGCTGCTGCTGCACCAGAGCGCCTCGAGTTCCCCTGATCCCGACCCAAACCCTCACCCAAACCCAATTCTAATCCAAATCCTGATCCAAACTGTGATCCAAACCATGATCCAATTGTAATCCAAACCATGATCCAAATCCTGATCAAATTCCTGACCTAAACCCTCACCCAAACCCTGATCCAATTCTAATCAAACCTGACCCAAACCCTGACCCAAACCCTCACCCAATTCTAATCCAAATCCTGATCCAAACCCCGATCCAGTTCCAGTCCAAACCCTGACCCAAAACTGATACAAGCCCTGACCCAATTCCAGTCCAAACCTGACCCAAACCCTGACCCAAACCCTGACCCAAACCCTGATCCAAACCTGATCCAATTCTAATCCACATCCCGACCCAAACCCTGACTCAAACCCAAATATAAATCCTGAGCCAAACTCTGTTCCTGACCCAAACCTTCATCCAAACCCTAACCCACATCCTGACCCAACTCTAATCCAAACCTGATCCAATTCTAATCCAAACCTGATCCAAACTCTGATCCAAATCTTGATCCAATTCTAATGCAAATCCTGATCCCAATCCTGACCCAAACCTTCATCCAAACCCTAACCCACATCCTGATCCAACTCTAATCCAAATCTGATCCAAACTCTGATCCAAACCCTGATCCAAATCTTGATCCAATTCTAATGCAAATCCTGATCCCAATCCTGACCCAAACTCTGATCCTGACCCAAACATTGATCCAAACCCTCACCTAAACCCTTATCCAACTATAATCTAAACCCTGATCCAAACCTGATCCCAGCCCTAACCCAAGCCCCAGCCTAAACCCTGACCCAAACCCCAACGCAAACCCCATTCAAACCCTGATCCAAGCCCTGGCCCAAAACATCACCTGAAAAACTCAGGGTTTGAAACCATTTTTACTGGGAAATGAAATAAAAGTTGTGACTATTGAAAGCTTGGGGTAACTGCCTGCAGGAGCTGCAGGTTTTCACCCCAGGGATTCCCCAAATCCAGCCCTCCTGCCCTAAAGCTCCTTGTCCCTAAAGCTGAGCCAGGGCACCAAACCCCAGAGCAGCAGCAGAGCCTGCACNCATTCCCAGCCCAGGGAGCTTTGGGATGAGCTTTGGGATCAGCTGTGCTCTTCCAAGAGCAGCATCCCCATCCCTGTGACCTTTGGGATGAGCTCTGCTCCTCTGCTGCCCCCAAACCCCAAAGCCCTGGACAGGCAGAACCCGGCTGGGAGCTCAGCTGGGCCTTTCCCAGGGAGCAGAGAGGGGACACAGGAGCAGGGCAGTGACAAAGGTGGGGACTGCCACCCCTTTGGCAGCACTCAGGGAGTCCTTCCCCTCCTTCCCTCCCAGAACGAGCAGCGATGAGTGAGGAAAAGCCAGCAGGAAAAGCCCTCTGTTGGACAGACAGACTGACAGACTGACAGTCAGTGTCTGTGCCCCCTCTCACACCTTGCCCCGGGGCTCAGAAGTCGCTGAGGATGCTGATGTCGGCGAACTCGGCGCGGTACCGGTGCGAGTAGAGGCTCAGCAGCAGCGCCCACTTGAGCGCCATGAAGCTCCACACGCAGGACAGGTAATAGCTCTTGGGGTCAGTCAGGGCTGTGGGGAAACAA